GTCAGGGTCAATGAACACTTGCGGGAGGCCTGCACCCAGCTCAGTTGTGTCTGTGCCACCCCACCCCTGCTGCCTACCTGGGGAATCCTCCTGCTCCACACAGTCCCTGGGGCTGGGAGTATCCAGGTGAGGCCCTGGCCACAGGCACCTGCACAGCTGTTGAACCCGCTGCTGCCTGTCCCCTCATACTGCTGTATCAAGGGCTGCCAGAGATGCCACAGAACACCACACTCTCGCTCTACACCCCACGGTTCCCTGACTTCTTCCTCCTGGCAACCATCACACGTTGTAGTTACGTGGGTCATCAGTACACATCTACCAGCATCCCCCACTAGAAGGTAAGATCTGTGAGAGCAGGCAAGGCTTAAAACCCAGAGGGACACAGATTTATCGATTCCTGACTTCATCTCTCCTCACCCCTTCCCTAGTCTATTCGCGACTCTGAAAATAGGGTTCTTTTGTAACTCCAGTGTGGACACGTGGGAGCCATATAATTGCCCCTCAAGGAATACATAAAAGCATGTTAAAGACGAATGAAGGCTGGAGGGTGTGGTGGCTCATGCCTGTAATCCCAGCACTTTGGGAGGCCTAGCCAGGCGGATCACTTGACATGAGGAGTTTGAGACCAGCCTGGCCAACATGGTGAAACTCTGTTTCTACTAAAAATACAAAAAGTAGCCAGGTGTGGTGGTGTGTGCCTGTGGTCCCAGCTACTTGGGAGGCTGAGGCAGGAGAATCGCTTGAATCCAGAAGGTGGAGGTTACAGTGAGCCAAGTTCATGCCACTGCACTTCAGCCTGGGCAATGGAGCGAGACTACGTCCCCCCCAAAAAAAAGGAAAGCTGATGTTTGTTGAGCACCTACTACACACTGAGTCTTATGCTGTGCACTTTGTGTGTGTTATCGCTTTAAATGTTCACAAAAATGATGAGATGAGGCACAGAGGGGAAGTCTGTTGTGCAGTCACATCACTGGGTGGTAGAGCTGGGCCCTGGGCTGGGCCCTCCAGCTCCAGGGTATGAACGTGTGTGGCACCCATGTGTGGTGTGTGGGAGTGTTTCCTTCATCCCCTCCCCTACGCCCACCATTGCCTCACTCCAAGGCTGAGCTAGGGCAACAGCCTGTTAGCAGATCTCCCTGAATTTATTCTAGTTCCTTCCTGTTCAAATTCATCCAGAACCCTGGGAGACTGAGCTGTATTTCCACACACATGCGCACACACACACACATGCACGCACACATGCACACACCACCCCTTGCACCCTGCTCAAGAGCTCGAGCCTGCGAACCTCATCCATTCTGTGGTCCCACCTCCCAGGATCCTGCAAGGATTTGAGGAAGGCATGAAATGAAACAGCTCCATGTTTTGCAAAAGGTGACTATGAATACCAATCCTGAAAGAGGGTTCCCACGCTTGCCAAAAAATAACATTTCTGGGGCCAAATCCCAATGTCACATCCTGGAGGGTCCCCACTGCTTTTAGCATGGTAAAGGCTCTGAGAAGTCCTGTTGTAAAGCACAGGCAGCCCGGTGTTCCCCACACTGATTGGCCCTGGAGCCCTGTTTCCACCCTGCATGGGCAGCTCTCCACATCAGGAGAGCCCCAGAAGCTTTACTTTGTTGAGAGTAAGGAAATAAAAGACCAAAGCCTTCCTTCTAACACGGCAGGGAAAGCCTTCTAGGTCAGTTGGGAGGAGCATGTCCAACAACTGATTATTCTGTAATAGCTAGGATTGAAGTCTGCAGCTGATTTGCTTCTAAATAGTAAGGAGAGTGTGTGTAAGATTGTCCTCTGATATCACCTTTACTCATAATTTAATTTACAAATATGGAGTGGTGCAAAATCCTTTTTTTTTTTTTTTTTTTTTGAGATGGAGTCTTGCTCTGTTGCCCAGTCTGGAGTGCAGTGGCACAATCTCAGCTCACTGCAACCTCCGCCTCCCGGGTTCAAGCAACACACCTGCCTCAGCCTCCCAAGTAGCTGGGACTACAGGCACACCACCACACCTAGCTAATTTTTGTATTTTTAGTACAGACAGGATTTCACCATGTTGGCCAGGCTGGCCTCGAACTCCTGACCTCAAGTGATCCGCCCACCTCAGCCTCCCAAAGTGCTGGATTATAGGTATGAGCCACTGTGTCATCTCAAAATCCTTTTTTTTTTTTTTTTGAGATGGAGTCTCACTCTGTTGCCCAGACTGGTGTGCAGTAGCACCATCTTGGTTCACTGCACACCTCCCATGGTCAAGCGATTGTCCTGCCTCAGACTCCCCAGTAGCTGGGATTACAGGCACAAGCCACCATGTCCAGCTGATTTTTGTATTTTTAGTAGAGCTAGGGTTTCACTATGTTGGCCAGGCTGGTCTTGAACCCCTGACCTCAAGTGATCTGTCCTCCTCAGCCTCTCAAAGTGTTAGGATTACAGGCGTGAGCCACCACACCTGGCGTGAAGGGACCTTTTCTGTGTGGTTGTTTTCTGGGGCCCCAACATGGGTCAGAGTGGCTAAGGGGTAAGTCCAGAGAGCAGGACTTTTGGAATACAGCAGACTGGGCGGTCGCTTTGCCATTTCTTATCTGATTGGCCTGAGCCCATCATGGAAATTCTCTGAACCTGGCTTTCCTGGCCTGTGGAATGGAATAAATAGAACTTCCTTCCTAGGATTGTCCTCAGAATTATGTGAGATCACATAATTATTATGAATACCTGGGGTATGCCAACTATCCAATAATCGATACCTTGATTTCTCTCCTGTGCCCAGCCTGGATTCTCTGATACCAAGATCCCTGGATTCCTGGAATAAATTGAACATGGCCTATCTTCCTAGGAAATTACCTTACTCTACGGTAATAAATTTACGATTATCATTGCCAACAGAGAGATCTATTGGAATAGAATGTGAAACATGAATGCACTTTTCAGATCAAATGCAAGATTTCTAACTGTGTTTCCTCGTTTTCCTGGGTACAGATGAACTCTACTTTGAAGTAAGAAGTTCCTGAATCACAAATTCAGAGGAAGCATGAGAAAAAGGTATTCCAGGTTGGACACAGTGGCTCATACCTGTAATCCCAGAACTTTAGGAGGCCAAGGTGGGCAGATCACTTGAGGTCAGGAGTTCGAGATCAGCCTGGCCAACATGACAAAACCCCATCTCTACTAAAAATACAAAAATTAGCTGGGCGTGGTGGCGCTTGCCTGCAATCCCAGCTATTTGGGAGACTGAGATTGAGGAATTGCTTGAACCTGGGAGGCAGAGGTTGCAGTGAGCTGAGATCGTGCCACCACATTCCAGCCTGGGTGACAGAATGAGACTCTGTCTCAAAAGGAAAAAAGAAAAAGAGCAAGGTATTCCAAAGTTTCTACCGGGATAAGACTTCAAGGAAACCTCTATTTCAAAAGATTAAAATGTTTATTTCCCCATGAAGACTAGGTATCTCGTGTAATGTAACACTCGAATTCCTGTCTCAGACCTAAAGGTGATAAAGCATGAGTGAGTTTACGCAACACCTGGGCAGAAGCAAATAACTCTTATGAGCTTCTCAAAGAAAGTTATAGATTGGAGATACTTTCATCTGTAAGTCACATGAATTAGGATTGGCTGGGTCTTTCCACTTAAAACTTGAAGATGTCATAAAAAGAAATCTTGTAAAGAACTCCATGTCACTGTTAGAAAAAAAAAAAAATATGCAGGCCGGGTGCGGTGGCTCAAGTCTGTAATCCCAGCACTTTGGGAGGCCGAGGTGGGTGGATCACGAGGTCAAGAGATTGAGACCATCCTGGACAACATGGTGAAACCCCGTCTCTACTAAAAATCCAAAAAAAAATTAGCTGGGCGTGGTGGCGTGCGCCTGTAGTCCCAGCTACCCAGGAGGCTGAGGCAGGATAATTGCTTGAACCTGGGGGGCGGAGGTTGCAGTGAGCTGAGATCACCACTGCACTCCAGCCTGGTGCCTGGTGACAGAGCAAGACTCTGTCTCAAAAAAAAAAAAAAAAAAAATGCAATTTATAAAATGATATCTTCACCTTTCTGGTTTTTAAATTGTAAGTTCTAGGTCCTGAGAATTCCCCAGTCCTGGGCAAATTGGGATGGCTGGTCACCCAACCTATACGGAGGCCCACTGAGGTTAAAAAATAAAAGTTATCACAAAGGACATGAGGGAGATAGCTGTGTACAGTGTGAGTGCACAGAATAAACGGTCTAGGGGGTTTTATACCAAACTGTGCACAGTGGCTCCCTGGAGGAGGAAGGTCAGCCAGGAACAACAGAGCAAGGAGACTTTGGCTCAGTGCTGCATGACTTTTTAACCTGCATATTATTTTGCAATGCATTTTTTAAACATTTAAAGAAAGTCATGTCTTCCTAGGAATATGGGACGACTACAAACACTTTACTTTTAGTCTGCCTTTTTTTTGAGATGGAGTCTTGCTCTGTCGCCCAGGCTGGAGTGCAGTGGCTTGATTTCGGCTCACTGCAACCTCCGCCTCCGGGGTTCAAACGATTCTCCTGCCTCAGCCTCCCGCATAGCTGGAATTAAGGCACCTGCCACCATGCCCGGCTAATTTTTGTATTTTTAGTAGAGATGGGGTTTCACCATGTTGGCAAGGCTGGTCTCAAACTCCTGACCTCAAGTGATCCACCCGCCTCGGCCTCTGGAAGTGCTGGGTGGCATAAGCCATCACACCTGGCCTTAGTCTGCTTAAAAAAAAAAAAAAAAAAAAAACCACAGAAATGTTTATATAAAAGATTGTGGAACTGATATGGGAGCATGTCCAAGGACCCACACCATTTATAGAAGCAAAGAAAGGCCTTCTCTTTCATCTGCATTACATTTTGAGGTCTTCTGATCAGCTTCCTTCAAAGATGACAGGAAACGTTTTTCCCCTGGGGACCCCAAGTGCAGGCCTTCATACAGGGCCTGCTTTCACTATACTTTGGGTTCAAATTCACCTGGATGCTGGCTGAATGGGCTGGGTCCCCGGGGAGGGGTGAGCTGACTTACCACTTTATTCCTGCAGCTTTTGTCTTGCCATGTCCTCCCAACTGTGCATTCAGAGTTACATTTTCCAGGTTCCTTGTTTGCCGAGGGCCTGAATCTAAGCCTGCTGGCTGTTTACTGTGGGGACTGCAAATGTCACTTTTAGATTAACCGGCCCCTGCTGTTTAAAAATATCCTGGAGCACTTAACCCTCAGAGCCCTGAATAGCAGCAACAATCCAGGGCAAAGAAGAGAAAGATCCCATGCCAAACCACCTGCGCAGCGGCCCTGGCTCCTCCCGGGAGAGTTCTGCTGTCTGCCTGTCCATCCCATAACTCGCTTTATTTCTAAATTCTTAGACATTGAAGCCACGAGGCATCTAACGTCCTCGTTGTTGTCAGCAGTAGGCACAAAGTCATTCGGACCCTCCTGTGACCGGCTGAAAATTAACTGCCCACAGGTGTTGGTCATTTGAGAAACAAGCCCACAGTGAACACCGTGAATGGGAAGGTGACTGCTATCAGGTCACCTGGCTTCTCTCCCCTGAAAAGATTTGGCGAAACCCTCTCGAATCACGCCACTGAATGGAATGTTTTCAACTTCTTGTGACTTGGGGATCAAAGGAGAAAACAGGGCTCTGTTCCCACATTCTCATTCGGGTTCGGCTGGCTCTTGCTCGGGTTGGGCAGAGAAGAGGAAATTCAGCACACACTGCAGTTACACAGTGTTCTGCAATGTGGGGAGGGCTGGCATGTGGGACAAAGGTTGCCTCCAAGTCCCAGCTGGAGCAGCCCAGCTGCCTGGGCAGGAAAGCGGAGCCCACACAGAAGTGCACTGCTCAGGCAAAAGGGAAGGGCAACAACAGCCTAGCGGCCCCACTTCCTGCCGACAAGGATGGCCTTACTTTTTTTTTAGATGGAGTCTTGCTCTGTTACCCAGCTGGAGTGCAATGGCATGATCTTGGCTCACTTCAACCTCTGCCTCCCGGGTTCAAGTGATTCTCTTGCCGCAGCCTCCCAAGTAGCTGGAATTACAGGCCCACCTAATTTTTGTATTTTTTGTAGAGATGGGTTTCACCATGTTGGCCAGGCTGGTCTTTAACTCCTGACCTCATGATCTGCCCACCTTGGCCTCCCAAAGTGCTGGGATTACAGGCCTGAGCCATCGTGCCTGGCTAAGGATGGCCTTACTAAACAGCTAGTGGAGAAAGGGGTGAGAGTGCTGAGTGTGGAACTGTGCAGAACGGTTTAAATTGAAATTGTGGCTGGGGCTGGGCAGCCTGTTCACAGCTACTTCCTTTCTAGGCTTATTTTCCAATAAGGAACAGTCATCGAATATTGGACTTTGTGGGAATTTCTCCACTGGACTTGGAAGCATTAGCTCTGGAAGCCTCAGTGTCACCAACTGTACCCCACAGCACCAGGTACATGTTACAGGAACTGGGGGTGAAGACATGTGGGTCAAACGCCTGCACAAAGCCCAGCCCGTGTCATTATGTTCTCCATCCACAATAGCCCTTGTGATGGTTCTTAGACTATTAAGACAACAACGGTAGCTCGTTCCTGTAATCCTAGCACTTTGGGAGGCCGAGGCCAGGCAGATCACTTGAGGTCAGGAGTTCAAGACCACCCTGACCAACATGGAGAAACCCTGTCTCTACTAAAAATACAAAATAAGCCAGATGCGGTGGTACATGCCTATAATCCCAGCTACTCTGGAGGATGAGGCAGGAGAATTGCTTGAACCCAGGAGGTGGAGGCTACAGTGAGCTGAGACCCCGCCACTGTACTCCAGCCTGGGCAGCAGAGTGAAACTCTATCTCCAGGTAAAAAAAAAAGACAACGAAAGAGGTGATTCTCAAACAAACCTATGTTTCTAGGGAGAGCCATCTGTGATTCAAGGACACTTTTAAAAAATTCCATTGAAAAAAATTCTTAGGCTTTCATGATATGAAAAAAAAAATTCTTTCACAATGATTCCAAATAACTGTGATCTAGGCAGGGTGTTGACGGTGGCAAGACTATTAGGCTTTGAAATCAGGCTGATGTGGGTTCAAATCCTCCCTCCATGAGCCGTGACTTTGAGCAAATGGATGAGCTTCAGTGTCCTGATCAATTACTTCACCATATGGTTGAGAAAATGAAATGACTGGTATTGAGCTTCTGGCACAGGGGCTTGCTCATGACAAGCACTTAATATCTTTCTAATGAAATTAATTACTTTCAAAAAGCCTAGACATACCCACACATACCAAGGAAGAAATCTGCAGTGGTTCAGTTCTCCTAGACTCTATCTCTTTAAGACACAGGTATTTTCTAGAATATAATTGGAAGGCTTGAAAACAATGTTATTCATAAACTCTTTCCATCAAACACAGGAACAGTAATAGAAATGTATTTCTTCAAACAGCTCTTAGTTTCAGAAAGTCAGGCATCAAGTTACATTTTTTGTTTTGTTTTGTTTTAGAGATAGGATCTTATTCTGTTGCCCAGGCTGGATGGATCATAGCTCACTGCAGCCTCGAACTCCTGGGATCATATGATCCTCCTGCCTCAGCTTCCCAAGTAGCTAGAACTACAGGCACACACCACCCCTGGCTAATTAAAAAACATTTTTTTTAGACACAAGGTCTCATTATGTTGCCCAGGATGGTCTCGAACTCCTGGCCTAAAGCGATCTTCCTGCCTCGTCCTCCTAAAGCACTGGGATTACAGGTGTGAGCCCTGCACCTGGCCGCCCAAAATTATTAAGTGACCACATGGTCTAACAAAACAAGGCACCTGGAAAAAATCACCAGTCCTGCTGCAAACCAGACCCTTTATGAGAATCCAGATGCCTTCCCCCACCAATTAAATCAGAATTTCCAGGGATGGGGTCTGACTTTTGTACGTTTTAGTTTCTCTAGGCTGGAGGAGCACTAGCCTCTTGTTGGAAGCCTCCTTACCTTCCTCTCCCACACCTTCATCACAAACATCATTGAGAGAGACAAAATAACATACTATATACACAACTAAGAAGCAGAGAACAAAAATTATCCATCTCCTGGTCTGCTCCACTCACCAATATTTATATTTCCAAGCATATTTCAAAAATTTAAAAACCGGTTCCCTAGCCTGGGCAACATAGCAAGACCCCACTTCTATTAAAAACTTAGCCAGGTACAGTGGTGCACACCTGTGGTCACAGGTGCTCAGGAGGCTGAGGCAGGAGGATTGTCTGAGCCCAGGAAGTTGAGGCTGCATTAAGTTGAGCTATGATTAAGCCACTGTACTCCATCCTAAGCCACAGAGTGAGACTCTTATCTCAAAAAAATAAAAACAAAAATTGGTTCCCATTGAGTTAAACTACAATGTTAAACATAAGCTTTATGTTGTTGGACCCAAATTACAGTGTCAGAAGGACTCTAGACAAGGAGGCCATCTCCAGCAGGGGAATGTTCTAGCTTTTCTCAGCTTGAGTCAGCACAAGTCAATATGTGAGGTCCCTTCAAAGTTACCCAGAGCACCTCCCCCCAACCTGTTTTTCCTTGTATATCTTGAAGGTTTGGCAAGGTTGAAAAGCCAACACCACATGCATACAACAAAAAGTTTGCTTCTCCTTCAAACCTTTGCTAAGACTTATATGAAGAACAAACTGAAGCAGAAAGTGAATTTTAACAGAGAGATGTATTATCTAATAATGCAAACATACTAGCAACATGCTAAAGTCTATTTTTTTAAATGCAAACAATTTACAGTCCCTGACCTTGCCCTGCTTGGATGCAAATCAAAAGCAGTCGGTGACTTTCACACAATTATTGTCTTAAACCAGAGGTTTCCAGTTCAACATTAATAACTGACTTCCTTGTGTTACCAATTCCAAAAGCTTTCAATGCTCTAACTCACCTGGGAAGGGAGGAAACAGGAATCATTCCACCAGGTTCTCAGAAGCCTCCCCAAACCTTGCCACATGGAAGCTTCCAGCTCCACACCCAGCACGTGGGTCCTGACTTTGCAGAGGCCAGCTCCTCAGTGTTGAATGCACATGTTCCTCTTCGTGGCTGGAAACTTCAACATCCACTCAGACATTCTCTCCACTGGGAAATTTCTTCTTTCCTGGGCTGACCTAGCTGTTGCTGCCTTTTTGTTCCCATTACACGGATGGTGGGCGCACACAGGGGTCTGCAGACCATGGCTGGAGATGCCTGTTTTCCTATAGCTCCTAAGCTAGGAGTGGTTTTTACATTTGCTAAATGCTTAGGAGAAAAAAAAATTCATGACACATGAAAATTATGTTAAATGGAAATTTCAGTGTCCATAAATTTAAAAAGTCTTATTGGAACATAACCTCACCTGTTCCTGTACATTTTGCCCATGGCTGCTTTCTGTGCAATGAGTTGTTGAGCAGTTCCCACAGAGAACGGGTGACTGCAAACCCACAAATATTTATCATCTGACCCTTCACAGAAAGTTTGCCAACCTCTGACCTAAAAGGCTAAAATGGCCTTTTGTGCATCTTTGCATACTGAGTACAGGAATATAGACTTGACACGAGAAAAAAGTAACTATCACATAGCTAAGAGTTCATCAAAACGAGTTGCCTTGTTTCTAAAGAATCAGTGATTACATTTTCCGAGGGTCATAGACCACTTAAGGAGCTGCTCTGTGTTCTAAGTGTCAACACATGACTAAAGTTCAATATGTATACATATACATATATAGCATATATATTGAACTTTAGTCATGTGACACTATATATATACAATATATGTATGTACTATATTCAATATACATACATATATTCATATATATGTATATATTGAATTACATATATATACATTTAAAATCCAAATAATTGTGTTTTGAATTATTCCTGGAAACTCGGAGCTCACTGCTCCCAGTGCCGCACTGGGAGAGAAGTGTGAAAAGCTAACTGGTGTAGAACAATTATCCCTTCACTTCTCCTTTGGCTAAAGGGAGCCACTGTTGTTTAGAGGAAGATCCCAAAGTTACCAGAGGGCAAAACGACCATGCATCCTCCTCCTGAAAGCCTGTTTGCTGAACACAAAATGCAGAATGATAAACCCTTCCCAACATACATAAAGAAAGGAAGCTGTATTTTCAAGCCAAACTTTCAAGGTCTCCTCTCCCTGACCTTTTAAGAAATGCAGTTGCTAATCTTGAGATTCTGGCTGGATGCCTTCTTTCTTGCTCATTTAGTTAAAAGCGTCTCTACTAAAAATACAAAAATTAGCCGGGCGTGGTGGTGCACGCTTGTAATCCCAGCTACTTGGGAGGTTGGGGTGAGAGGATCACTTGAACCCTGAAGGCGGAGGTTGCAGTGAGCCGAGATTGCACCACTGCACTCCAGCCTGGGCGAAAGAGCCAGGCTCCGTCTCAAAAAAAAGCACACTTGTGGCTTCCTTCTTCGGACTCTGGGGGATCCCACAGAGCACCCTGACGGTCCCCCACTATCTGAGCCTGGGCTGGGGGCCAGTGTGCCACTAGGGAGTCTTCCCGAAGCCCTGGCCTCACCCCCGAGTTCCAGATGTCTCGGAGTCTAGAAATACGGGCTGAGAGGGGATGGAGGAGGCTTCCCTCAACGGCCACAGGGCTTGGCAGAATGCAGCCATGACCGGCATGCCATGTTCTCCGAAGAAATACTCTGCTAAGGCCCCTTTGGGGTCTCGGCTGACTGACCGCAACCAGGCTGTCAGCCCTCCAAGGTGCTGGAGTAGCGGCGCTGCTCCAGGCTGGGGGTGGGACCCAGCGCTCACCGCAGCTAGCGGAGGGATGGGCGGCTCCACCAAGCAGGGGGGATGGGGAGGAGCAAGGGCAGCCCCTCCCACAGACAATGGTTGCTATGGGGACCCCGGCATGCGCCAAAGGCAAGGGCAGCCCAAGGACGTCCACAGATCTGCGGCCCGGACATGGAAAGGACACTTGACAGAGAAATTTTTAACAACCTTTTATTACCAAACCCTGCGTAGGGCCAACTCTAACCCGACTAACAGCAAAAACAGCATCACTAACAAGATCAAGGTGTAGACCCAATATTGTCTCTTAAAAAAAGGATTGGGAAAAAAATATATATATATCTGCATGAGTACTTCTTAAAAAACTAAAACATTCCAGTGTTGCAGAAAAAAATATCCCAAAGTGATTTCAGTTGGTAAAAAAAAAAAAGCACTTGACAGTCCATGGTGCCCTCAAAACCCCAACTGGAGATACCCCGAGGAGAAAATCATCCTGACCCCATAAAGACAAAATTCCCTCTTCTCCTCTTCTTTGTTCAAATTCCACTGCTTATTCCACCGACACTCAAGGGACAACACCCAGCTTACTTCCCTCAGCCCATCTGATAGGGCTCACAGCAATCTTAGCATCTTCACCTCTACTACAATCAGGAAATTGAGCCCTAAATTCTGGGCCAGATTCTGGAAACTTGCAAAACATCCCTATGCTTTGAGGGGCCTGAGGACTCCTTCAAAGATCAAGGGGACAGTGGAACAGGCAGAGACTGGCATGCCTGCCCTGCAGGGCTGAGACAAGGGTACCTTTCTAAGCAATAACACCCCAACACCTGTCACTGAAACAGGCAAAACTACGAACAGCAGGCACCAAACTAGGGCTGTGCCTAAAAGGTGCACATGTTCTCCCGTCCACCATAAAAGGCAAGGGAGACAAAGACAGCCAACTGAGTATTTGACCTCATCTGTCTTCTGACAAGTTGGCGTATTTTAGGCTGAAGCCATGCTGCAGAGAAAGACATTTGGTCAAAGGGTAGCCTTTGCGGTTTGTGGCTGAATACAGCTGCCATTCCTGGGCAGCCTGGTTCATGGCTGCTTTTTGGAAGCTTTTCCTCCTTATGCAGAGTATTTAAGAATTAACAGGAAAATTTTCAGTGGAACTTCGTAACTGACAAAAACGTTAACAGCAGCTTCTCAAAAGAAACCAGTGGAGACAGGCCACCCCTCAGCTGCCGATCACAGCTCCTTCCAGTCGATGGGCTTCTTGCCAGACTTCCGCAGCAGCTCATTGGTCTTAGAAAAGTGTCTACATCCAAAGAACCCTCTATACACTGACAATGGGGAGGGGTGAGCCGTCTGTAGGACATGGTGCCGCTTCTGAAAAAGATCAAGAATAAAAGGTGGTAGACTTGGGACTTTTTTTTTTTTTTTTAAAAGGACTGTGGCTGGGGCACTTTAAGACCCTATGCAATTCCCCTTTGCCCTCTGTAAATTCTCACTTCCCTAAGCGGAGCACTCAGTATTTGCATTAGAGGGTAAGTCCATCTGTTGAGTAGCTACCTACCTTTGCTAGGCTCTGAGATGCAGAGGACCAGCCTCAGCCTTCAAATGGGCAATTATGCGATTTTTGAGTGCCCCTATCGTATAGCCAGCAATTTCCACTGCTAAGATTGTATTTGCTAAAGGACATCATGATGCATACATACACAGGTAACTCCTCAACTTATTAATACAACGGACGGGGTTAACACCGTGGAAAACCCATCCTAAGTAGAACATATCCTAAGTCGAAGATGCATTTACGACATATAACCTGCTGACCATCACAGCCTAACCTACCCTACCTTACATATGCTCAGAACACTTACACCAGCCTACAGCTGGGCAAAACAAAGCTTATTTTAGAATAAAGTGTTGAATACTTCATGTAACTCATTGAACACTGTACTGAAAGTGAAAAATAGAATGGGGCCCGTCATGGTGGCTCACACCTGCGATCCCAGTGCTTTGGGAGGCCAAGGTGGGAGGACTGCATGGGGCCAGGAGTTCACAACCAGCCTGGGCAACATGGCAAGACCCCATCTCTACACCAAAATTTAAAAGTTAGCCAAGTACGATGGCGCGCACCTGGAGTCCTAGCTACACAGGAGACGGAGGTGGGAGGATTACTTGAGCCCAGGAGTTCGAGGCTGCAGAAAGCTATCTATAATCATGCCACTGCACTCCAGCCTAGGTGACAGGGCAAGGTCTTTTTTGAGACGAGTTCTCACTCTGTCACCCAGGATAGAGTGTAGTGGCATGACTGTGGCTCACCGCAGCCTCTGCCTCCCAGGCTCAAGCGATTCTCCCACCTCAGCCTCCTGAGTAGCTGGAATCACAGGTGCATGCCACCACGCCAGGCTAATTTTTTGTTTTTTAGAGACAGGGTCTTTCTATGTTGCCCAGGCTGTTCTCCAACTCCTGAGTTCAAGTGATCCGCCCACCGTGGCTTCTCAAAGTGCTGGGATTACAAACATGAGCCACTGCTCCCAGCCAAGAGACCTTGTCTCAAAAAAAAAAAAAAAAAAAAAAGACAAAGTTGCAGAAAATGCATAATAGGCTTAAGGAGTGCCAAGTAGTTGAGGGCAATTTATTTACGGGCATACCTCAGAGATATTGCAGGTTCAGTTCCAGGACATTGCAATAAGCAAGTCACACAAATATTTTGGTTTTCCAGTGCTTATAAATGTTATGTTTACACTATACTGTAGTCTATTAGGCATGTGATAGCATTATGTCTAAAAATATGTATGTATCTTAACTAAACAATGCTTGCTAAAAAGATGCTAACGATAATGTGAGCTTTCAGAGAGTCAAGATCTTTTTGCTGGTGGAGGTTTTCCTCAGTGCTGAAGGCTGCTGACTGATCAAGGTGGTGGTTGCTAAAGGCTGAGGTGGCTGTGGCAATTTCTTAAAATAAGACAACAGTGAAGTTAGCTACATTGATTGACTCTTCCATTCATGAAAGATATCTCTGTAGCATGTGATGCTGTTTAGTAGCATTTTACCCAGAGTAGAACGTGTTTCAGAATTGGAGTTGATCCTCTCAGAGTCTACCACTGCTTTATCAACTAAGTTCATGTAATGTCCTAGATCCTTCGTTGTCATTTCACCAGTGTTCACAGCATCTTCATCAGGAGCAGATTCCATGTCAAGAAACCACTTTCTTTGCTCATCTACAGGAAAAAACTCCTCATCTGGTCAGCTTTTATCGTGAGATTGCAACAATTTAGTCACATTTTCAGGCTCTACTTCTGGTCCTCTTGCTATTTCATCAAATATGCAGTTACTTCCTTCACTAAAGCCTTCAACTTCTCAAAGTCATCCGTGAGGGTTGGAATCAACTTTGTCCAAACTGGTGGTCATGTTGCTATTTTGACTTCCTCCTGTGAACCACAAATGTTCTTAATGACATCTAGAATGACGAATTCTTTCCACAGGTTTTCAGTTTACTCTGCCCAGATCCATCAGAAGAATCACTATCTATGGCAGCTATAGCCTTCTGCCTGCCTTCTTCCTCCTTCCCTCCCTCCTTTTCTTTCTTTCTTTCTTTTCTTTCTTCCTTTCTTTCTTTTTCTTTCTTTTCTTTCTTTCTCTNGAGTGCTCCAAGTATGGTTTATGCACCAGTGTAAAGTCAAAAAAAAAAAAAAAATCAAGTCAAACTTTATAAGGCAGGGACCAGGTGTACCTACACAAATAGGTACATATAAAGGGATTCACTGACGTGCTCCTTGTGTCAGCTAAAACCTAGTATACAATCCAGTGTTACAGAACTAAAGTTCTTACAGTGTAACACCACCTAACTCCTAGAAAAACATGTGAGAGATAAATATACTGATATGAGATGACCACCAAAATTTATCAAGTAAACAAAATGCAAAATAATTTCATTTTTAAAAAACTTTAGAAAAAAACTCAAGACACTGTATTTTGTATTTCCTTTAAGGGAAAGAAACACTGGAAGCCATTTACTTTCCAATTTGTGCCTTTCTGAACTGGTTGAAGAGTCTTACAGTTCCTAAGGAAGAATTAAAAACAAAAAACAAAAAATTTCACCACAAAAATGGAATAGTTGGCAGCCAGGTGTGGTAGCTCAGGCCTATAATCCCAGCACTTTGGGAGGCTGAAGCAGGAGGATCGTTTTAAGTCCAGGAATTCAAGACCAGCCTGGGCAACATGGGGAAACCCTGTCTCTACAAAAAACACAAAATTAGCCAGCATGGTGGTGCATGCCTGTGGTTCCGGCTACTCAGGAGGCTAAGGTGGGAGGACTGTTTGAGCCTAGGAGGTCAAGGCTGCAGTGAGCTGAGATTGGGCCAGTGCACTCCAGCCTGGGTGACAGATCAAGACCCTGTTTCAAAAGAAAAAAAAGCAATAGTCACACCTGACCTAATGACAGGAATACATTCTGAGAAATGTGCTGTTAGGCAGTTTCACTGCTATGTGTACACCATAGGGTGTCTGTACACAAACCCAGGCAGGATAATCTACTACACTAGGCTCTATGGTGTAGCCTATCGCTCCTGGCTACAAACCTGTACAGCTCGTTACTGTACTGAATCCTGCAGGCAACTGTGACACAATGGTAGGTACTCGTGTATCTAAATGTAGAAAACATGCAGTAAATATACAATATTATAATCTCATGGGACTACCATCATATATGTAGTTTATGACTGAAACATCATTATATGGCACATGACTACTTTGGTTTTTTAAAAATGTCAACTATAGGTATTTCAACAGGGAGATACAGCTCATTTTTGCTTTCTTTAATTCTTTTCTGTATACGTATAAAAACTAACAAACAAATCACTGTTTCTTAAAACACTGCTGCCTTCAAGGGGTCGGTCCAGGAGGGGTGATGCGGGGTGATTAAAGCCGAGCAGCCCAGTGTGGTGAAGGACACAGAGCCTGCAGCCTGACTGCCTGGGGTCGAGGCCTATCTCTGCCAGTCAGTAGCTGTACCACATGGAAGTTGCTGCAACTCAGCTGCTTCAGTTTTCATCTGGAGACTGGGAATAACGACAGCGCCCAGCTTATGAAGTTACTGTGACAAATCAAAGGGGGATCCCGAGTGCTGAGTGTTATTAGAAGTCACGGACATCAAACACTGAACACACACGCAAGCAGCACAGGCCCCTTAAATGTCAGCCTTGCTGAGCTCAGAAGAAAATGACCTCTACAACGTGAGCAGAGCAAGCAGGGTAGGCAAAGGCAGGGAAGTGGGGCACAGTGAAAAAGGAAAGGGGAATGGGTCAGCCTAGCAATCGGAGTGCAAACAGGGATAAAGTTAAGGCTGGGGGCCACCCCTGCCGCCAAAATCAGCTCTTCAGCCACTGAACCCTCCAGGGAAGATGAGGTGAAGGCCTGAATGAAGGCAAAGGTGGTCAGGCGGGGACAGACTTGGAGGGGGAAGAAATAACACAGATATGAATGACTGATTGTATATGGGAAGGGGGTGAAAAAAAAAAAAAAAAAAGGACAGAAGAGGGTAGAAAGGTAGGCAGGCGTCAGTAATGGAATCAGATTTCCGCTTGGACAACCGGGCAGATGGTGGTGCTTTTCACTGCTAGGGAGTACAGAGAAGCAAGTTTAGTGAGGCATGGATGAGGAAAGGAGAAATTTCGTCTGGAAAATGTTGGATTTGGTATGTTAATAGTAAGAAGGTACACTATAGATCAGGACAGACACTGGGCTGGAGATATGCAACTTGCCTTTAATGATCAAGCTACTTTAACTGTTTGCTTTCAGACCAAAGAATGATTAAAGACTACCAATATACTGAGTAAAAACAACACTGGCCAAAGCCTCCCTAGGAGATAGAGATTAGCAATTACTCCCACGCACACTTCTTACATAACTAGATAATCAGATCTCACCAGTTCATACACATCAGATCTTAGGTCACTCATACAAGTGTATGCCCACCTCAAAGCCTTTCTGAGTCAAGTAAGATACTGCATGCAAAGTGCTCAACCTGGCCAGGTGCAGTGGCTCACGCCTGTAATTCCAGCACTTTAGGAGGCCGAGGTGGGCAGATCACTTGAGTTTAGGAGTTTAGGACCAGCCTTGCCAACACGGTGAACCCCGTCTCTACTGCCTACAGCACCAGCTGCACTCAGTCAAGCTGGCCAGTTGCTTTCCTCATACACAACTCATCACTCCTACAATTTGTCTAAATTCTTCTCAGTTTTCAATGGGAAACCCTTATAAACAGGCCTAAGGGAAAATATATTTGGGATACCCAGAACCCTTTACTTTGTTTCAAGGTGTTTAAAAAAAAAAAAAAAACATACCCTATCAATGGCACTGCCCTTCTTCTGAGCATAAGAGCCCCAGAGCAAGAAAACAAGGCCATTCGTGTTCTGATTTAGCCAGGACACAACTGCATCGGTGAATTGCTCCCAGCCTCTCTCCTTATGAGAGTTGGCTTGATGTGCCCGAACCGTGAGGACAGCGTTGAGTAGCAGAACACCTACACACACGAGAGAAATAGGTTAAATGCAGGCTCAGGCAAATCAGCCCCATACCCAGCAATAGGGGCTAAATCCATAATGAAACCCGTGCTTGATGGATCCAGTGCAGCTGAATGAAATAAGCCGTACGGCCAGCAGTGACCTCTGCACAGGATTAGAGAGTTTTATTCTCACCGCTGCCCTTTCGGCTTCTTCCAATTTAACTGCAGTGAACATGCCTTATATCCTTTGTCAAGAGGGATTGTCCTAAAAAATATCCTAAGTGATATTAAATAACACAGAACACAAAAAGCAGGCCAAAATGTTTCACATAAATGAAAATCAAATAGTAAGAAATCAAAGAGTGAACATTCTTTCCGTATCCTGGTTGTA